ACGGTGTGCCGCCTCCCGCCATGCTGGGGGCGGCAGTCATCCACTGAGTAGGAACTCCCTTGCCAGCCAGACAGCCACACCATGGGACCCAGGAGCTCCACTCCTAGGGCATGTCCACAAGCAGTAACGCAGCCACGCCAAACGCAGGCGACATTACTCGCAGTGGCCCAAATGGTGGAGATGACCCAGCACCATCAGCAGAACGCCGCCGTGCCACTTGCTGGAAGGAGAAGGGATGAACAAAATGTGCTCTCCCTCTCCATATGTAGAATGACCATAGTTTTGAGTCCCGGACCCAGTGGCTTAAACTCACACCGGGCGCATGTGAGCGCGTGCCCAAGATCCTGAGAGGAGAATGGAAGAGAAGGGACTGCGGTGTGGCCATCCCCCTGGGGGGGTGATTTCTCACTTTCTGTCTCTCTGGCGAGTGCACTCACCCTATAGCAAAAACCTCTCCCTGAAAAAGAGAGAGGCACTGGGCCAGCAGGTGGTGTTTTTGTTTTGTTTTGACCATGGAGTGCGTGCACTCGCTGGAGAGGACACAGAGAGGGCAAATGAGAAATCACTTCCTTCTCTGCAGTGAGATAGGAGTTAGACCCCACTTACGGTGGGAGGGGTAAGGGCCTCGAAAGGAAGCCACAGTGATTCTCTTTAATAAAGTATTTTCCTCTATGGTCCGGTCAATGTAAAACATACACCCCTTTTCCACATCTCTCACGAATGTGTGACATGGGGCTGGCAGGTGGCGTGGTGGTCAAGTCTCTGGACTCACATGGCTGACCATGGTTCTAGCCCTGGACCTGGTGGCTTCCTTTCTCACTTTCCCTTTCTCTCTTTCTCTGGTCAAATTTAAAAAATAATAATAAATAAAATAAATAGTTCTTTAAAAAAAAATGTATGACTTCTTGGGGCTGGCAGATGGCATGGTGGTTAAGGTGCTGGACTCCAACATGGCCGACATGGTTCGAGTCCCGGACCTAGTAGCTTGCTTTCTCACTGTCCCTCTGTGGTCAAATTAAAAAACAAACAAACAAATAAATAAAGTTAAATAAAATATTTAATTAAAAAAAACTTCGCCTCCAGCTTCTCTTCAGCAACCCATTCATGCCCTCCCTGCTTGGGAGCTCTCTTCTTCTCTTTTTTTTTTTTTTAGAGGTTTTTGCTATAGGGCGCGTATGCTCGCCAGACAGACAGAGAGAGACATAGAGATAGAAAGCGAGAAATCACCCCCCCAGGGGATGGTCACGCCGCAATCCCTTCCCCTCCATTCTCCTCTCGGGATCTTGGGCACGCACGCACACGCGCCCGGCGTGAGTTTAAGCTACCGGGTCTGGGATGTGAACCGCGGTCGACTACGTGGGAGTCCAGCAACATCACCATTACAC